TTCGGTGATCTTCGCGTCTCTGTGGCCTGCTCCCTCCTCGATTCTTCCGGTCCTCTCTCTTCTCCTTTGGGGGGATGCTTGGAGCGGTCCCGGGCGGTGTCCGGGGAGGGTTCCGCGAGGAGGGTCCTGGGGGCAGTTGCGGCTAGATCTGAGGGGGGTCCTTGGGACCCCCCGAAACATTTTGGGGATGCGCAAATCATTTAGAAAACGCCAGATGGGGCACCGCTCCCCCCACCCCTCCCCCCCTTCCCCGCGGGGGGGGGTCTGGATGCGCAAATCATGAAGAAGACGCTAGATGCTTCCCCCCCTCCTCCCCCCCTTCCCCCGCAGAGCCACCCCGGCGCCCCCCCCCAAGCAGAGCTGAAGCTCTTGCTTAGGCTCAGAGCTGAAGCTCTTGCTGAGGCTCCTTGTAGGTCACACGCCGGATCGGCGGATTTGTTACAGAAGCCGCTTCTGGATTGGACAGGTTGTTCATGTGGGGGGCTTCCTGGGCGCATTTTCGAGCACCAGAAAGGCTCGCAGGGAGGTCCCCAGGGTGCCCATGCTCCGAGAGGCCCTGAATAACCTCTTCCTGGTGGGACACGCTGTTTCGTTAACTTTCGCCTGCAGTGATTGACGCTCTTGGACGCTTCCTGGAACTCCGGAGCTTCGACGAGCTGGTCGGCTTCGACGAGCTGCTCTGTGAATCAGATCCAAATCCACAGCGTGCGAGCCCCAGCACGCCGCGGATTCGATCCTGGATTTATCAATCCACCAGTACACACTACTCTGTATTACAATTCTGGTCACCCAGAGGGTTGCAGGTTCTAATTCCTAGAACGTGCATGTAAATGTGATTACGTTCTAGGTTCTAGGTTCTAGGTTCTAGTTTATACGTTCTTCTATTTTGTGGTTATATGCCTTTTATATATCATAGTTTGCGTGATATCACTATATACCGTTGCCGCGTTGAGAAGTTTAGGAAACACACAGGGGTGCCGCCAATTTGGTTGCGTATCGGGCCTTCTCAAGCGTTTCTTAAGGTCCTCGAACCGTCGGTTTGCAACGAGGTCAGTGATAGAGGAGAGCGAAGGAGGAGAGAAGAGCAGGAGAGAGAGAGAGAGAGAGAATACGTGTGTGCGTGTGTGAGAGAGAGGGAAAAAAAACAACACAAGGGATCGAGAGGAGGCATTTGTTGCTCACCGCCGCTCGATCGAGCGCGCCACGCGTGGCACGCGCGAGGTCTAGGCCTGGCCTCTCTTGGCCTATCCTGGCCTCCTCGCCTCTGTTGGCCTCTCCTGGCCGCATCTCCTGCGGCCTCCTTGGCCCCCTGCCTCCTAGCCTCTTCTGGCCTCTCCTGGCCTCTCCTGGCCTCTCTTGGCCTCTTCCTGGCCTCTCCTGGCCTCTTCCTGGCCACTCCTGGCCTCTCTCCTGGCTTGTCGTTCTGGCCTCTCTTGGCCTCTCTCCTGGCCTCTCTCCTGGCATCCTCTCCTCTGGCCTCTCCTGGCCTGGCCTCTCCTGGCCTGGCCTCTCCTGGCCTCTCCTGGCCTCTCGTGGCCTCACGGCCCGTTCGGGCTTGGCCTGTCCTCGAAGCCCTCGAATGCAGCCCTGCTGCGCACGATCGCGTCGAGACCAGCCTGCCTCGCCTGATCGACGATCGCTTCGAACTCCGCCGCCGCATGGTTGAACCCCTCATCAATCAAGCGCTGCTCCACCTGGTGCCTCTGTGCGGGCGGCAGCGTCCTGACGAGCCGCGTCACCTCCGCGTCCATGCAGTCCTATATCTGGGATTTGGAACACCTCCACGTCCTCCCTCGCCACCCTCTCCACCTAACTGCCCCGTTCTCCTTCCTCCGATTCGTAAACCCCCCACCCTCCCTCCCCCATCGGTCCTTGAGCGAAGTCCCGAAGGGATAGCACGCTCGAATCTCGTCCTGCCAGTGCGCGATCGAGGCCACCATGAACGCTGGCACCATCGTCAGCGCTCTGTTGACTTCGAAGCGCTGCGCGGCGCGGACCTCCCGCTCACGAGGGCTTTGTGGGACGCTCTCGGTGGGGCCTCCTAGGGCCCTGAAGTCTTCCTTCAGCAGGAGAAGTTCCTTGGGGTGTCCCCATCCCCCCGTCATCGCATCCCGCGCGAATGAGATGATCGCCCCCCCTCCTGTGGCTTCGAAGCCTACTCGGATTACGCCAACATCGGGCCCGAAGACGGCCCTCAGCGGGGCCGATGGGACTAAACGTGGGGGGAGGTAGGAGGAGCACGGGATCGAGTAGGAGTGGAATCGTTATATAGGAGCCAGAGTATGGGAAGGACTTTGGACCCAGTGGGTCCTCTTCGGCCAAGGGCCTCCATTGAGCCCTGTTCCTCGCTGAGAAGATGTCCAGCACGATCCAGCGCATCGTGAATATGCAGAAGCTGATCTCTGCGAAAGGGGACTCGTCGCTGGATTCGTCCATCTCCCAATCCACGTTCTCCTGCCTCTGCCCCTCCTCTGATCTGGCGGATCGCGAAACCGCTCGAGCCAGGAGCGGCGTCGGCGGTGCAAGGGAGGGAAACAACATGCAGTCTCCTCGCTCATCGCTCCGCCCCTCTAGACTTTTTGGCAGTTCTTATCTCAGTACCGCTCTCTCGATTCTCTCACTCTCCCTCCTCTATCTCTAAAACTCTCTCTATATATAGTCCTCCCTTTCTCTCCTTTTAGAGGGTATTTTCTCTCGCTCTCTCTCTCTCTCTCTCAATCTCTCTCTCTCTATTTCTCTCTCTCTCTCTCCACCTCTCTCTCACTCAGGTTTCAATCTCGGCAGGCTCCCTTGACTTGCCGCCTCGCCAGTTCAGCGAGCCCTCCTCCTCTCGAGTGTGGGGGGTGGCGGGAAAAAAAGAGCGGAGGAGCCAGACGTGGAGGGTTCGGATGAGGAGAAAGATGAGGAACCTGACGGAGCTCGAGGGGCGGGTGAGGAGAGCATACCTTTCCTTGGCCGCGGCGACGCCACGCGCAAGTACGTCGCATGGCTGCGCGGGCATGGGCTCTCTCAGCTCGCCCGTGTCGCCTCGGCTCGTCCTCACCCTCCTCGCTTGGCCTCCTCGCCTCGCCTCTCGCCGCGCCTCCTCGCCTACTCGCCTCTTCGCCTCTCCTCTCCTCCTCTAGGCGGGCTCATCCCTCCTGTCGGGCCAGTATGAGCTCGAGCTTGATCCCCACCAGCCCTGGCGCTGTGAGGAGTCCTTTGCCCACCAGCCCTGGCGCTGTGAGTCCTTTGCCCACCAGCCCTGGCCCTGCGATTCCCAGTTGGGCACCCTGCTCGTCCAGTCCTCCTCCCGCGGCTTATCCTTGCACGGCATTGCTTTAGCTGGTGCCCCCGTGTCGTCTATGGCTTCTGGCTCTTCGAGGTCGTTCTTCTCTGCCTCCTTGCGCTCTTTCGCCTGCTTCGGCTCTTTCTTGCGTTTCTTCTTCTCCCTATCTTTCTCATCTGCCACTTCGCGCTCTGATGCCTCCACCTGCTCAGCTGGCTGCGTGGCGATATCGATCTCCTTCTCGGGATCCACTGGAAGGCGCAGGATTTCCTCGTCCTCCTCCACTGACCTGATCGACCGCCCCCCGCTTTTATCTTGCTCACGGGTTCTCTTCGCGCTCTTCATCGCAGGGAACACGAAATTGTCATGATAGAGCTCATCCAATCGTCGACCGAACTCCCGAATTAAATCGAACATCTCATCAACTCCAGGCTTTCCCGCGTGCGACGCGATGATCTCTAATAAGGCCTTTTCCTTCGAGATGATCTTCACGTTGAGCACCTCATCTTCTTCGCGGTCCCAAGCCATCATGTAGTTTGGGCCCCTCATGGCCTTGTCATTGTTGGGGTGTCTTCATCGAGAGGTTTCGTAGGTTCCAGCTTCAAAAAAAAAGTCTGGTCGTCGTCTTTCGTATTAATAGGTTCCTTTTTATATGTGTTCTCATATGTTTCGGCCAGTTAGAGGTGGTGGAGGAGGCGGTGGAGGAGGATGAGGCGGTGGAGGAGGTGGAGGACGAGGAAAAGAACGAGGAGGAGGGAGGAAAAGGAGGAGAAGGAGGAGGGAGGAGGAGGGAGGAGGAGTAGGAGGGAGGAGGAGGGAGGAGGAGGAATAGGAGGGGGACGAAGGAGAGTGACAGATGATGTAGGGTAGGCGGCAGAGCAGTGTGAGGAATGTTGCAGGATGTGCAAGTGTGCTGCGCATTGACATCCTCCTCCTCCTCCTCCTCCTTCGCGGGCCGCAGCGCTTTGCGCCGGCCGCGCGCGTCCGCCACGGGCCCCCTCCCGAGGCGGGGCGCCTGTCTGGCTGGGGCGGCGGCGTCGATGACGACGGCGGCGACGGCGACGATGAGAACGGCGATGATGACGACGACGTACGAGAACGATAAAGGAAAAGAGGAAGCCTTGAAGGCGCCCTCTTTTCCTTTATCGTTCTCGTGTTCTCGTGCGTCCCCTCCCCAAGGCCCAAGAGCCAATGCGCACCGTGCCGCCGTGGCCGTCATGCGAGCTAACGCGCGCACGGGCACGTCGCCAGCTTGAAAGAATTGTGAGGGTGCCTCGGGCGAGAGCGCCGTTCCTGAGTTTTGGGGCCTCTGGCCATAGCGTCTCGGGGTACAGTGTGGGGAGGTGGAGGAGAAGACGGGAGCGGAGGGGGATGAGTTTTTTTTCAGGCTGCAGATCGGTCGCGAGACCCTGGATTCCCGAAGGTATCCTTACCCAACGCTTCCAAAACGCCAAGATGGGACGATAAGGGAATGCTTAACAGCAAGGGTCCCAGGGTCCAAGGGTCGTCCGCGTAGCCATTTGGGCTCAAAGTTTGCTTCGGCACGACAATGCTTCGGACTGAGAGTTCGATCGCCACTCAGATTTTTCAGCACCTGAGTACCAGGAAGCATGTCACCAGAACGATAGTTTCGACAGGCACTCTCAGCGCTCGAGCCATCAGAGATATGTTGGGTGCCTTGCGTCTGGACGTGAAGCCCAAAACGATAAAGGACACTATATCCAGCCTCGGCATGCGTGCGGATAATCACGGCATCAGGTTCGAATGCTTTCACTTGTTGGTCAACTCGTTCCTGGGCGCCGCTGTTGTGTCAGAGGCCACGCTTGTAGAAGTTTTTGAGAAGCTGGCAGAATCGATTGACGTCCCAGTTATCCAGGCGCCCGACGGTAACGAGGTCAAGGATGCGCTGGCGCTCGCAGCTGAGATCCAAGGCAGCTTCGACGTGGTCCAGCGCCCGAGCGTCTCTGTCTACTACGAGATGCCCAAGTACGATTTAGCAGTGCAGATGGTGGAGCGAGACAACGAACTAACACTCTTGCAGTCCGAACTCAAGCAGGTGAAACGACGGCTGGCGACGACGGAGCAGCGCTTGGGGCTACACACAAAAAAATCTCGGATCCTACGCGACACCCACCGTTCACTTGTGCAGAAAACGAACTTCAGACCAGGCAAGCGCTGCGTCAGCATATGGGGCGGCTACCATTTGGCGTACAAGAGGTCTCACGGCTGCAGCAGCGCACGATCTGTCGTGGCCATGTGTGCTGGCGAGGAGTGGCAGGGGTCCTTCACAGACGGCGCCAAGAACATGGTCATCCGCTTCGAGCATAACCTGTCCATTGCCAGGACCGTGGTCGTCAAATCATTCTATGACTCGGTCAATCACTTGCACGCGACATCGAATGAGATATGCATCAACTACGCGAGGGCGGCTTCTCTGGACAGTGGGGATATGGTGGCGTTGATTGGGAGCAAGTTGTTCAGCTTCGAATTCTTCATGTTCAGGGGCGACGCCACGAACCAAGAGGCAGTCGACAAGGCAAAAGTGTGGACAGGTGAAGCCAGTTACATTGCAACATGCCCAGAGGCGCTGAGCGACATCAGCAGCGACACCAACTTCGACAGTGACGACCTCAAGCTGACATTCTTTCGGGAAGTGCTGGACTTGCAGACAGTTCGGACGGGCGGTGCAAAAGAAACCACAGACTTGGTGACGCGACAGTTTCGCAATGCGGGGCTTCCGACGTGGATGGAGGCCGCATGCCGAGATGGACCTAGCTTTCGGAGTTATCATTTTTGCTTAGATAGCGGACCTGACTGTGTAGGCCTCGTTCGAGCTGCAGTCGCAGCTGTTTCTAACGTCCGTTGGGTGATGATATCTAGTTATTTTTGCCGCTTCCATCAGAACGCGCTGATCCAGCAGAGCATGGTTGATATCACGAACAATTGGGAATGGCATACGCCCTGGGGATCTTCTTCGTTTCTTTCTGGTTTGAAGGTTATCGCGAACACTCTGAGAGGCGCAGGCGTCCCACGGAAAGTCAGAGAAGCAGCTGCCGAGCTCAAGTTCCCACCCAAGGTTGTCAAAGAATCTGTTGGCAACACCATTCATCGGGTTATCGCGACGCGGTGGGGCTCCGTTGACGACATCGAGATGTACTTGAGGAATGGTCGGCATGTACTTGGACCCGCTGTCAGACGCACGTGGCCGAAGTTCGACGACACAGACGCAGACAAGACAAAGAAGAAGACAAAAAAGCTGGACGGTGAGGACGCTGAGTGGTACGAGAAACGCCGAAACTACCGCCAGACCACGGTTGCCTTGTTGAATGACAAGTTGTTTTTGGGGACAGCTGAGATCGACCTCGTCGCGAAGGGGCCCCTTGCTCATTTCCAGCGTTGGGCGCAGCAGGAGAGCAAGATTGAGCGAGAACACCGATCGGAAGCATCAAAGCAAGGGACCGCCTACACGGGTCCAACCTTCGTTTCTAAGTTCGTGTCGGGCAAGGCCAAGGTTATCTTAGACGAGTTCAACGCCCTCCTGGACGACGACGCCATGCTGACGCACTGGGTCGGCACCTGGAGTCTGATTCGAGCTGACGATGTACCAGAACATGTCGAGGAGGTTCGCAACGCCAAAAGAAACTTCACAACAATGAAAATACACCAGTTGGTTTTGAGTTTTCGGTTCGTTTTCGGTGGTCTGATTTCGTTTGGCGTTCGGACCTCCTCGAAGGCATTGTGCTTGATCGTGACCTTGGTGGTGCGTGGCGCTCTTGATTGGGAACGACGGATGTACGACCCCACGCAGAGGTTCCCACTCGACTTTCTCAACGTCTTGGAGGCGGACCCTGAGGAGGCCTCGGCTCCTCGCAAAGCCTTAGCCCATCGGTTGATGACTGCGTCCAAGGAGAACTTAGAGTGGCAGGATGGCGTGTACAACTCCTTCAGCTTCAAGTTACGTGCCATGTTCTATGAAGATTTCGTCATCATGCAGGGCACTGGTAAGTGCACGAGGATGGTATGGATATTTCTTTCAGGCTGGCGTGCGTTATTCAATGGCGAGACGCAGGAGATCGAGGGCTGGAACAGTACGTTGAAGAATATGTGCGAACGGGCTCCACGCACTAAGGTGAGACTGGCATCAGATCGCCTCAAGAACAGAGTTGGCGAACGGACTCCCACCGACGAGGCCGTCGCAGTGCACAAGAAGGTCGTCGAGTTCTCAAAGACAGATGCGAACATGTTCCGCTTCAGCCCCCTCACAGACAAGGAGCGCGATGCCAGCGCAGGGCCTCATCCTGATGCTGTCCCTCTTATTGGATCGAGCAATGCGTCCACCACGCACTTCGTCGGTGACCTGCCCGACAATGCCAGAGAAGCACTTCCGATATCTTATAGCATATTTGATGTGACTGACTTGGGAGCCAGGTATGCGTATGTGATTGTCGGCCCAGACGCACCTGATACACGCGCACTTGCTTTAGATCGCAGCGTCGTATTCTTGGCGGGGACTTCGCACTACAAGACGATGTATTGCGCAACTGGCCACGTGGACGAGCTATGCCATTTTCACTTGCACGTTCCAATTGTCAAACGTACTGCGTGTGCTCTGGTTGGTGAGGCCCTACATGCATTTCACCCTCTTCCAGCTGGGCGGAAGCAGCGTCCTCGCTTGCATCTGGTCCAGTACATGTTGTCGTGGACGTCGTTGAAGGCCGCCTCGGTGATCGCTGACACTGCCCAAGTGACGCCGCTGTTCAAGCGGGCCTACAATGGCCCCAAGAAAAAGAATACACACACAGTCGACGCCGAGGGCGGTTTGCCTGACATGCTTGAGGACGACGACGGCTTCTCTGAGGAGCTTGAACGATTGATTGCCCAGGACGCCATGGAGGAGGAGTGCGAGGACCTCGAGGGCGCCAGCGAGGGCCTCGACAGCGACGGCAAGGATACGGACGTTGAGGACGACGCTGGAGATCGACAGCCTGACCCACATAACCATGCAGGGCCTGATAAAAGCGACGTCTTTGACGCCATCTCTGGCGACCACCGAGCTGAGCTTCTCCGCAACGTGAGGGGCGCATGCGAGGCAAGCCGCACATCTGCTCGGGACGCGATGTACTTCGCTGAGGACTACGGCTTCAGGACTGACATGTCAGATGCTCCAGAGCGGGGCTTGGTATCGTTGGTTGAATTGCGAACAGTTGCAGAAGATGGTCAAGTTCATTACGATGTTGTCTTTGTTGCTTGGGAGGGCGTTGGCAGGTCTGCAAAAATAGCAAGGGTGGACCTCGAGCACCTGTGGTTCAAGTATAACGTGCCGTTTGCGACTGAGCATCTCAAGAGGGAGTGCGACAGGGACCACTGCAACATCATCATCGGGAACGTGCCTGTCAGGATCACGCGGCCCAAGGACTTGCGTGAGCGTGTGCCTGATTGGTGCTTGCTAATTATGAAGGCCTTCGCGGCCGAACTGTTTTCTGGTCCGATTGCTCGCGACTGTCTCTTCAGTTGCGACGCTCCCTGCGTTTTTTGTGCGTGCGCAGACACCATGGGCATGGATGTCAGGGTCGTCGGCGGCGGTGGTGCGCAGCCCGTAGAGCACTTTGATTCGTACATATGTTCCGAGTGCGTTGTGTACTGGCACAGCGCGTGCGCAGAGAACGTGGCACGTGCTTTTGGGATGGGGTCCCCATTCGAAGAGGAGGGCCTTTTCGTTTGCCCCATTTGTCTGAACGAGTGAATGCATTGCCCTGTGGGGTCAGGGTTGAACCATTGGTGCGCACCGCAGGGGATATGTTGGTGCTGCCGCAGGTGTAAGAAAGCCTCGACGTGGCGACTGAGAGGGAGGAGCGTGGGAGGAGGACGGGAGGAGGACAGGGGAGGCGGGGGGGGAGGAAAAGATGCCGATGGAACGAGGAAACGCTGCGCCCAAGAGTGCTCGTCGAGGGATATGAGAGGAGGAGTCGAGGAGGAGAAGGTCGGGGTGGATGGAGGGGAAGGGAGTGAGGGAGGGAGCGCACGGCATCCCGAACAGTGAATTCCATGTCGCGGGGGCCTCCCAAACGCTGTAAGATCAGAAATGCAACGGCAGTCTGACCCTTGAAAATACCAAGCTCACAGAGGAGGATATTGGGAAAATTCTAAGCGTCTTGAGGTGGATGTTGGAATTTTTCTAAGGTACTTGAGGTGGATGTTAGAATTTTTCTAAGGTACTTGATCTTTATATATTGTTTCTTATTACAGCCAAGTGACCTTAGAATTTTTCTAAACTCCACATCGGGTCGCTCAGAATTTTTCTAATATCCGCTTCGATTCGCGTTGGATTATTCTGATGTCTACCTTTGATGCTTTAGGTCTCGTGAGTCTTGGGTCCGCTCTAGACCGACCCCCTGCGGCGCCGCGCAGCGCTGCCGACCCCTCCCTGAAAGCTGCGGGGCGGCCGTTCGGAGGGGTTCGACGACCTCGCGATCCTGGGGGGATGGGGGTCCTGGGGGGAGGGGGATTCGGGGAGAACAACGGGGGACGGGTGGGGAGGGAGGGGGGGCCCAGAGGGGGGGGGGGGGGGGGGGGGCAGAGAGGGGGGGGGGGGGGGGGGGGGGGGGGGGGGGCGGGCCGAAAAATTCGAAGCGCCAGGGGGGGGGGGGGGGGGGGCGGGCCGAAAAAATCGAAGCGCCAGGGGGGGGGGGGAGCGCGGGGGCGGAGGGGGGGCGGGGGGGGGGCGGGGGGCGGGGAGGGGGGGGGGGCGGGGAGGGGGGGCGGGGGGAGGGGGTTGTGGGGGGGGGGGGAGGGGGGGGGGGGTGGGGGGAGGAGGAGGGGAGGAGGAGGGATTGGGGGGAGGCGCTCCGAAAAATTCCCCCCGCCCCCCCCCCCCCGCCTCCCCCACCCCGCCCCACCCCCCTCGTCCGCACCGCCTCTCGGGGCCTCCGCGGTGCCGAGGCCGTAGGGGCCAGGGGGCCGGCAGCCAAAGGCCGGTGGTTCGCGGCAGGGGGTGAGCTCTCAGTGCAAATGTTTGCCCGTCTCTCCGCGCCATTATTTTTTCACCCCCCCCCTTGTGGCGAGACCCTTGGAGGCAGTTTCGCGGCCCTGCTCGACCTTGGCCCTCGTCCTCCGAGCGCTGGCCCTGGAACCCCTGAGATGAGTGGCCTGTGGTGGCCTTCCCATGACGTTCCCTGTCAGCCGTTTCCTGTCCGCTTATCCTATCCTCCCACCCTCCCCCCTCCATTCCCCTGCCTTTGCCAAGTCCTCTGCTCCTTTTCTTTCTCCTCCTCTCCTCCCCTGCCATCGTCGCCCACGTTCTCTCTCATATCCAGTCCTTCTTTTGTCCTGCGAACGCTTGCTTCCGCCAGGCTACTCCCAGCGATGGCAGCTGCCAGCTCCCATGGCGACATGGCGCTCGTGCCCAAGGGGCCCGAGCCCAAGATTGCAGACCCGTCCACGTTGTTCCTTAACGACCGTGCGAGGTTTCCGACGATATACGACAGGTTCGTCGGCTACGTGGCGGGCCCCGAGCTCGAGAATCTAGTGTTCAGGCTGTACGCGCGTCAACCCCGATGGCTGCCCCTCGTGCACGAGGGCAAGTTCACCATGACCAGGGACCCTGCCAACAGGAGGTGCCCCGAAGAAAACGGACGCTTAAGGACACACGCACACGGTTAATGATTACTGCGTCCTTAAGCGTTCGTTTTCTTCTTCAGAAACAGAAACATAGGTACAATATGGCGACAGTCTTGGACAGGTGCAAGTCAGTTGAGACGATTGGCATATGCAAGGTCCGTAAGGGGCCATGGGTAATTCCAGCAGGCGAGAATCAATGGACTGTTCTACACTGGGCGAGCTTGCTTGAAGGTGCCAAGATGGCGATGGAGAAAGATCCCCACAAGAAAAACAGGACGGTTTGGATCGCTCTCGAGGCCGGTTGTGACTCTGCTGTGGAGTTCGACCCGAACTTACCAGACGATGTGAAAGACTACGTCATCGAGCTAGGCAACGCCACCAACGCCAGCACTTTGGTGGTTACGGTGCTCCAGGTGTTCATGTCTACCGAGACGATTCTTTCTGGATGGGCAATCCAGAAGGAAAAGGTAACTGCTACTGGTGACGGTTGTGGCGGGGCGCTTACGCTCTACGCTCGCAGGCATGCCTATGCCAACACTGTATTCTCTGGCCGCTGGCGCTCACAGAACGCGCTCGACGTGACGATCAACACCTACAACCTTTTGCAGACAACGATGACATCAGCAGGCATTTCAATTTGGGATCAGATGGTATCTTATTTCGAGACAAAGGCTGACTACATGCATGAGTACATGAAGGACACGAACGCGGTCATCCAGAACATCAGTTGCATTTGCAAGGTGCTGTGCTCTACTTATCCCGACTTCGTCGTTCCTGTCGTTGCCCTCGTGATCCCGCACCTCGAGTCTGAACCCCTCGGGGCGTGCCCAGCGCTGCCAGATGGCATTCCGCAGGGCAAGTTGCGAAAGCTGTCAGAGGCCATGGTGAGGAACTTACTGGCGAGCATGGCCGACAGCGCGACTATGAAGGCGAAGGTCTCTGCGGGGTGCGCGTGCGCATCGGATGGGGACAACGACGTGTCTTTCCTGAGTGACGTGATCCAGTTCACCGCGATGCTCAAGCACAAGCTGAACGTCCCCCAGGACAACCTGAACGCATACTCGTCGATCCTGTGCTTCTGCCAGCTGCAGGGAGAGATACAAGTTCCAGGGAATGGCAACACCCCAGCGAGGACGATCAGCAGATACACCGCGATGAAGCGCCACATCATCAACGCTGCATTCAAAGCATCTGGCATGGCAAAGAAGCCCAGCGACCTTGAGATCTACTACGCCGACGCAGGGGACGACAGCCAGCTTGCAGAGTCGCCCAGCAAGGCGCCTCTGGAGGAGAAGACTGACGAGACGCTCTTGGACACCTTCAAGACCTTGCAGGACAACGGTTCGGCGGCCCGCATGAAGTCCTACCTGATGGTGAACCCGATCGACAAGCCGATCCAGTTGCACATGGCAGTCTGCGGGATTACGAGCAAGGTCTACACGTCTATGATTGGAGCATGCGGTGGTGCAGAGGGCAAGTCTGGAACTCCAGATAGCCAACGTGAGCTGATCGAAGAGGCCACGAAGCGCGTGGTCACTGCCGTCATGGATGAGATGCCGTTGGCGTTCGACGAGATAGTGATAAACTTTGGACAATTGTCGGAATTCAAATTTGCTTTGACAACTGTTTCAACCAGGAGCGACTATGCCGACACGGAGCTTCTGAGGAAGACGTGCGAAGAGATGGGCGTGATCGGGGCCACCGGCCGCAAGAAGCTGAACATGGTCAGGCTGAACACGTTCTTCGCAGTGTGCAGCACGTTATCTACGATGCAGGTCCCCCTCAACGGCACTCCGAAATACATGTTTGGCTTGCTGTCTGTGCAGGACGTCTTCAAGAAGATCGCGGAGTCCATCGAGAGCCAGCGGTGCGGAGCGCAGGAGCCCATCGATATCAAGATCATCACCAAGGCCATCGACGGCGACGTGTCCATGGCTGTCTTCGGCGACTGTTTCAGCAAGGCTGCCAGTGCCATATATATGTCACCACAACCACGTTAGCCAGCCCCCTCCTGAGGAGGAGGCCAGCTGACGTGGAAGATGTGGCATATTATCTGGAGGCGTTTGCTGAACTGGTGGTGACGGTGAACAAGGTTTGCCCGACCAAGGCGAAGGCGCATCACACGCTCGTCGCGGGCCTGAGGGGGAAGCTGCAGGGCTTCACTCATACGCAGATGAAGGAGTTCGTCGTGTCGCAGGGCTTGCAGAGTATCGAGGTGCCGCCATCCATGGGAATCTTCTCGTCTGTGAAAGCTGCGCTGGTAGAGGATGTCATGACTGCGGTTAAAAAGAAGTGCACCGACACGACCTTGGCAGCCACGATCCTCGTCGGCAACGTTGGCGACAAGGTGACGATCCTGCGCGACCAGCTGGCCAAGGCAAGCGCCACCACTACAACTGCGGCGGCAACAGCGGCGGTCGTGGCACCGACTGCGGGGCAGACGACTACTCCAACCAAGACTGCCAAGGAACCAGTCCCCATCGCCGTCGACGACGGCAAGGGCATTCCCCAGGGCGACTTCAACCTGACCAGCCTGGGGGTCACGCAGTGGATCAGCATGCTCACCGATGAGGACCGCTCGAAACTAACATACAATATTAATGACACCAGCTTCCTTCTCGCCCTCACTTCTTCTCCCCGCCTTTCCTCCCAAATTCGAGAGGAGCTGAAGTCCAACGGGCCCGACCACCTTGCCATGACCAGCGCGACGAAGGCGCGGGTGATCGCCTCTGTGCAGGGCCATTTCATGCCACCCGCTGACGGACTGCAAGGCCGCTTTCTCCGCGACGTGCTGATTGACTTTTCCAGGAAGAAGAGCGTGGGGACCTTGACAGCTCGTCTGGCGGCAGACGCAACGACCACGGAGGCTCCCGAGTTCGTTTGTTGGGGCAGGGTGGTAGATGCGATCGCTGCGAGGAGCCTTCCGCGTGGCACTCTGCTTCCACTGGGGACAAGCAATGGTTTGAGTTTGTTCCTGGATGGCTCGAAGCTCCTCAACCCTTTGGTTTCAGACGCATGCATCGCATGGATGCTCCCGATGATCAAGGACGACGTGGACGGTGAGACCAACGCCGATGCTGCCCCCTTGGTGGACAGCGCGGCCAACCCTGAGGCTGGTGCATGCGCAGCTGGCAGCAGCAGCGGTGCCCAGCCGCCCAGCAAGAAGCGCAAGGGCGCCTCCGCTGCCAAGGCGCAGCAGGCGCAGCAGGCAGCACCCCCAGCAAAACCACAGCCGAAGAAGGCTGGCAATCGCAAGAAGCTTTCTCACACGCACTCTGTCGAATTCGAGACCGTGCAATTTGATGTCGAGGTCGACTCGACTGCCAAGGTTTTCACTTTCGAGAGGCCTTTCTTGAAATCCAACCGCCCCCTCAAAGCAGGCGAGACTCTTCGTCGCAAAGCCTTCGAGTGGACGGAGGCCAACTCCCCAGGCGAGGTTGTCTCGGGCAGGACTGCGTCGGCGCGGATTTTTGGCATGTCTTGAGCTTTGACGCTGCTTTGAGGGAGGGGGGAAGGAGAAGGATGAGAGAGAGGGGAACAGGGGAACGTGGGAGGAGGATAGGGGGAATCCAGACGCAGGAATAGCTCAACGATGTGAAGTTTCGTCATAGCAATCGCCAGCGCACAGAGCGCACTGTATACCATCACTTCGTTTTGGCATTTTGTTTCGTTGATTGGTTCTCTTTAAGAATGTATCTTTCGCTCGTCCAGGGCACTCGGGCACCAGGCATGTGGGTTGTAGGCCTTGGTGCGCCCTCGACTTGAGCGAGGCAATGCACGAGTGCATTGCCGCGGGGTGGTGCAACCAAATGCACCGCCCTCCAGCCCGACACGTGCCGAGAGAGAGCCGATTTGGAGCGTTCGCAAGAAAATCACAAGGCTGTTCGACGTCAAAGTTAGGGCCCCGAGGCTTCGAAATCCATACTGTTCGGTGCCGAGGGCTTTTGTTTTCGGTGCGCGTTCACGACCAGAGCCCTCGGGGTCACGTGAACTTAGCCGCTGGGTGCAACCAATATCCTCCACCTCCCCCCTCCGTCCTCCTCCTCCCTTCTCAATTTCCGCTCGCTTCTCATCGTCCCCCCCCCCAGCGAACCTAACATATATTAGTTTCCTTCACCTTCTGTCCAAAACCACAATAAAGAAATCATAATGTAGATGAAACACACGCCCTAACTTTTTTTTGCATGCTGAACCGCCCAAGCGAGAGGATAAAGACACCCCATGTCATTGTCTCGCTTCAGGGTTGCCTTCGGCCTTAAAATCAAGCGCATGGTCGTGAAATCTCGCCGAGTGTCCCAGCTGCTGTCGTCCATCCGCTGCTCGGCGACCTTTGGGATGACAGGGCGAGGCGAGGAGGAGGGATGACAGGGGGGATGGGAGGGGCGGCAAGGAGGATGTGATGCGGACCTTAGCCTCCAGCTCTTCCGCATCCTCGGCCTTCAAACGCGAGGTCTCCTCGCGGCGCCTTGTTTTTTTCCCCCCCCTTGCAACGATGTCATCGAAAATGCGCCTCAAGTTCTTGTCCGACTTCTTTTTCTCATTTTTCTTCTCAGCTTTCTTGTGCTTATTCTTATTCTTTCCCTCCTCCTCTAGATCTCGAGCTGTCTCTTCCGCTGGCTTCTCCTCGTCCCAGTCAAGCGAACATGCTGGCGACCTCTTGCCATCGTCGTCGGCATCTGATGTACTCGAGGATATATATTCTTGCGGCTTAGCTCTCTCCCTCTTCTCGTCTAGCTCGTTCCTAAACTTCGCCAGCATCTCGTGCGCGAGCGCCATTGCTTGAGGAGTGATGTCAGGTGGGCACTCGACCTCTTTCCTCGCCTCGGCATCCTTCTTCTGCTCATTGGCCCCTCCTCCTCCTCCTCCTCGAGATCCTCCTCCTCCCTCAGCGCTGCTCGCCGCCTGCATGGCGTCGCACGGCCGCGGCCGCACGCTGGAGCGCAGCCAGGGTTCAGCCGAGCGCGGCTGCATGCAGAGAATTCACCACATTCCTACGGTCAACATTCCTACGGTCAGAACTCCTACGTTGCAAATTCCTACGCTCAACATTCCTACGGCACACATTCCTACGCTCGACATTCCTACGCGTAGGAATTGGGAGCGCAGGAATTCGAGGCGTAGGAGTTGGGAGCGTAGGAGTTGGGAGCGTAGGAGTTGCGAAGGAGTTGCGTAGGAGTTATTATGTGTTTCTCTTTAGGAGGCGAAGGAGTTGCGAAGGAGTTGCGTAGGAAAGTGGGTGCGTAGGAGTTTGAAGTTGCGTAGGAAAGTGAGTGCGTAGGAATGCTGTGCGTGGGAAAGTGAGCGAGGGAGTTAGAGTAGGAATGTCGTGCGTAGGAATGTTGCGAAGGAATGCTTTGCTATATATGCCATCAACCCTCTGGCATCAATCCTCTCTGGGCCGCTTATTCCTGGTTCTGGGGTCGCCATCCTGGATGTTACCGTACAAGTGGGTGACTGTGTTCATGCGGCCGAGGACCTCGAAACATTGGAACACTGATTTCTCCATGGTGGCCCTGTGGGACCGTTCTGCGCACAGCCTCAAAAGATAGTTTAGAGACTCATCCACGAAAGTGTCGTACTCTGAAGGCGACCCCATGTATTCGCTCCTAGGGGTGCACACGCTGGAGCGCAGCCAGGGTTCAGCCGAGCGCGGCTGCATGCAGAGAATTCACCACATTCCTACGGTCAACATTCCTACGGTCAGAACTCCTACGTTGCAAATTCCTACGCTCAACATTCCTACGGCACACATTCCTACGCTCGACATTCCTACGCGTAGGAATTGGGAGCGCAGGAATTCGAGGCGTAGGAGTTGGGAGCGTAGGAGTTGGGAGCGTAGGAGTTGCGAAGGAGTTGCGTAGGAGTTATTATGTGTTTCTCTTTAGGAGGCGAAGGAGTTGCGAAGGAGTTGCGTAGGAAAGTGGGCGCGTAGGAGTTTGACGTTGCGTAGGAAAGTGAGTGCGTAGGAATGCTGTGCGTGGGAAAGTGAGCGAGGGAGTTAGAGTAGGAATGTCGTGCGTAGGAATGTTGCGAAGGAATGCTTTGCTATATATGCCATCAACCCTCTGGCATCAATCCTCTCTGGGCCGCTTATTCCTGGTTCTGGGGTCGCCATCCTGGATGTTACCGTACAAGTGGGTGACTGTGTTCATGCGGCCGAGGACCTCGAAACATTGGAACACTGAGTTCTCCATGGTGGCCCTGTGGGACCGTTCTGCGCACAGCCTCAAAAGATAGTTTAGAGACTCATCCACGAAAGTGTCGTACACTGAAGGCGACCCCATGTATTCGCTCCTAGGGGTGCCACAAAGAAACCCCCCCCCCACTCCCCCCCCCCCCCCCCCCCCCCCCCCCCCCCCCCCCCCCCCCCCCCCCCCCCCCCCCCCCCCCCCCCCCCCCCCCCCCCCCCCCCCCCCCCCCCCCCCCCCCCCCCCCCCCCCCCCCCCCCCCCCCCCCCCCCCCCCCCCCCCCCCCCCCCCCCCCCCCCCCTTCATTTCTCATGCCCCCCTTCCCTGTTCATCCTTCGCATCTTTCCCGTTCCCTGACCCGTCCTCCTCCTCCTCCTCCTCCCCCTCCCCCTCCTCCTCCTCCTCCTCCTCCTCCTCCTCCTCCTCATCCTCCCCTTCTCCTCCTTATAATGCTTCCAGTGGTTCAAGTTTTTAACCCCATGCTCCTTTTCGTCAGGTGCCCGAAGAGGTGGAACTTCGGAGTGAAGTGGATCTTCGCGAGGTCGCAGTTCACCAGGAAAACGACGCAACTCTCGCGCAACATTTGGTACTCCGACACTGTCGGCTTAGACTTCGCGGAGTGGTAAACCCGCATCCAAGTAAGCAGGGCCTCACCTGCTTCAACGAGCTCCTTTCCATGCGGGACTTCGCAGCCCGATCCTACATGATACTTCAACTTGTTGACTGCGAACTTCAGAATCTGGAAGGTTTCCGAACCTTTCAACTTGCAAATTCCTCCTCCAAAGCAGGCGCACTCCTCTCCTGGAAACATCTTCTCGTTCAGCGTTCCGATCCTATTTTCATGCGGCACCTCCTCCTCCTCATAATATGTCATGAGTTATGCCTCAAGTCGGTTCCAAACCGTTGATCGCGGCGCACCCCAAGGATTTGCAAACGTGAGTCTGCGCAAGACCGCGCTGACATACCTCTGCATGCATCCAAGGTGCACCGTGTGCAACGTGTCTAGCGCGAGCGACCGCACTGGCGATGTCCCGAGCGCCGCGCTGAACAGGGGGGACCTGTGAGTAACTGAGCCTAGTTTCCGCCCCAGGCAATCGCATCTCGGTCGCCAGAACACAGCTTTGAAGGGCAAGGGTACCTTGTGAAACTCGAGAGGTATCAGGCATTCAGGAGACGGCTCAAGACGGTCACCTTCCAGCAAGCCTAAGGGCGGACAGTCGGCTTTCAACAGGAGGCCTTTGTTCTTCACTGGCACCAGCAATGCCCACAGCTTCCTGCGCGTTTCTTCTGTGCCCACAACTACTTCGTGCTCGAAGGATTTACACGTTTCTTCGTACTCCTCCTCAGATCTATCTTCCCACAGCAAACCGCAGTTGTTCAAAAACTCGCCGTCCACGATCGGCAGCCCATCCTTAGAACATGGGCATATCGGACAGCAGTCGTGCACGCACCCCCACCCAGTTAGGCCCATGGATTTGGCGAATTCTGCCCAGTCGCCTTTCAGCAGCACGACAACGCTCCTGAACGAAAATTGCGTGGTGGGTTTCTCCCATGCTTCCCAGTCTGACCCGTCGTGTTTCTTGTCTGGCACCGAGCCCTTTATGAGGCATTGCAGCTGGAAGGACGCAACCTGCATCATAGAGTATATGGAGCAGTGCCCGCCACAACCACACCGCACATTTCGCTCACCTTCATGAAGCCGAGTTGATGTCTCTTTTTTGATATCATATTTATTATTGAAACGTCCAAGATGCTGCCCTCCCTCTGAATTTACAAAGCACCCTGGCGCGTGAGCTGCATGGTTATCCCCCCCTCGCTAACGCCGAATGGTTGTATGTGTTGTTCGCGTGTACTTGTGAAGGGGCGAGGGGCGGGTGGGTGGGGGGGCGGCGGAGCTGACGCAGTCGAGAGCTCGTTTCGACCAGCCGTCTGCGCCGTGTACCTTACACCATCCATGTACACTGCCAAAGGCAGTGGGTAACCTCCTCCCTCCTGTAGGCACTCCTGGACGTGGGGGTGTTCTTGGTACACCCTATTGGACATGAAACTGCTGTAATCGCCCGTGTCACCGTACCTCAACGATTCTTGAATGTCTTTATTATCCTCGACTTCTGCTGCGATCGAGTGGAAGACCTGCCTAAATAGGACCGTCTTGCTGCATTCATGCGAAGCCTTGCTCAGGAACGCTGGCACTCGAGCAGCGTAGAATGGCCCTCCGCTGGGCAAGTGTTTGTCCATCTCTTTTTTGTATCTGCCCGATTCAAGATCGGGCGGAAGACCGAAAGTTGACCATCTT